AACCCCAAATTGCATACCCATCCTAAAGACCCGTGTAGGACTCGTCTGTCCGGATACTATGCCTGCAGTGCCACAGTCTAGTACTGAAACGGCTCAGGCAATACTAGTAGGACAGGATACTACTACACCTGCACCAACTGAAAGCCAATGTGTGAAGTACAACAAACCTAAAAGGAAACGCTCAAGACGTCATAAGACCTCGAAGGCGTCACCAAGTAAGGGAGACGAGTGCCAGGCGTGCAATATCATTGTTTCTAAAGCTGACTCAGCTTTCGAATGCAATTTTTGCAAACGGTGGGTGCACTGCCGTTGCGACAAAGAGGTACCGAAATCATACTACGAGTTTATGAGAAATAACCCATGCCCGTGGTTTTGGTACATCTGTCCACTCTGTCGCCCTGGTGTAGTCACACAGAGCGTGTCTGCGGTTAGCAGAAACAACACGCCGCCCTTGTGTCCCAACACGGTCTTATGTAGCTCCCCACCTGCTAACGTCACATTGCCAAAACTTGGCACAGACAGTAAGAAGGACACTCCTGTCCTACTGACCGAAAATGCCAATTTTCACAAGGTGAAGATTCATAAGGCTGGACCTAAAAAATCAAGGAAAGATAGAGTTAGAGAAGCACCACTTGCATCCACAAGCAAGCTTGGCAACACAATAAAGGCTGGTCAGAACCCGATGAAGCCTAAAGTTGCTGATGCTGCAAAGGAATATGAGAAGCCAAAGGCCAAACCTAAGTCTGAGGTTAATCGGTCTAATTCGCTCATCCTCTTTAACGTACCTGTGAGCAAGGACAGCTTGCTTGAACAGCGGGCCCTGTTTGATCAGGAACAGTGGTCCAACCTGTGCAATAAACTAGGTCTGAATATTAGTTCAGTGAAATTGTGCAGGCTGTACAGGGGTGTCCACACACCTCAAGGTAAGCCACCCCCATTACGGGTTACACTGGACTCTGCCGAAGAGGCCGAAAAGGTACTATTGATGGCTCAGGTACTAGCCATCGACAGAAGCTCTAACATAAGGGTGAGACAAGACAGACCATGGGCTGTCAGACAAATGGCAAGGGAGTCACCGGAACTTTTGCCTTCCACCTCTATGGTAGTGCACGGTGTCCCGGAGCTGGAAACGGGCACTGCCTGTGAAAAACACATGCATGACGTACAGCAGTGGAGATGGCTGTCGTCTCAGATGGCCCTTGGCGCTTCTGGAGCCATCTCCGTTTACCGACTACCTCGCCCCGCTCATCTCACACTGATTAGCTCCCCAAGGCTGCTTAGTGTCACATTCAACTCCCCAGAGCAGTTGGCCATAACACTTCAACGGTGGTATGAGATCAAGGGGAAATTGGGAGGAAACATCCGATGTTGCGAAAGCAGACCTCGAACCATAAGGAGGCAGCAAACTGAGGCTTTAATACGTCCCCAAGCTTCAGTGACACTCGAGCGATGCAGTTCTGAGAATAACAGTCTGTGCCACCCAAGTGTCCTGCCTAAATCCAAGGGAAAAAACCACAATGGGCCGGTTCCATCGGAACTGGCCAATTAGTCCCAACACTAAGTTCCCTACCAGCAGATAGCTTCACGTCAACTACCCCACAACACGCTGAGGTTGTAAGACTCACTGTCAGCTGCCTGTATAGCAATGTGAGGGGGCTGAGAGTAAAAATAGGTGAACTCCGAAATCTCCAAGCAAACCTACAACTGAAAATAATCATTCTCACCGAAACATGGCTAACCCCCACTATCGCCGATAATGAAATCAGTATAGGTGATATGGTTTTGGTCAGGAGAGACAGGGACAATAAGGAAGGAGGGGGAGTTGCCATATACTTTGATAGGCAACTTAAATGTGTTCGCGCAACGGACCCACCACTTATTGAACTCCCAGACTCCATATGGTGTCATTTCACCGTAGGCCACACCAAGCATTTACTTGGTGGCATCTACCGATCTCCCACCTGTGGGGCAGAGCACAATCAGCTACTGCTCAGCACTATCACAGGGATACGAGACTTGGGCTATGACCAAATCACCATTGCTGGAGATTTCAATGCCCCATCACTGAACCTTGGCTCGGGGTATGCTAAGGGAAAATTCGGCCGAAATCTACTGCAAGCTATTCGGGACACGGGACTGACTGAGAATGTTGGAGACGACACTAGGTGGGGCCCTAGTGGAAAGTCATCAAAACTAGACTACATTCTAACTAGTGACCAACTACTCGTCGAAAAGGTCCAGGTCATGACTCCTCTAGGAAGTAGTGACCATGCAGTCATAGGTTTCGACCTCGTTCTCCGTGAGCACTTGCAGTGGGACGCTACGCAACCATGTCTGTGTTACAGCAAGGCTGACTACGCTGAAATGCGGAGGCTCTTGTTCGATGCAGACTGGCCCTTAGCATGGGATGAGCTGTCTGTGGATGAACACTGGGAAGCGGTAAAAAAGATTATTCATACAGCGATCTCGGATACCGTCCCTTTAGTCACAGCACAGCCAAAAAGAAAATCATCATGGTTAAAGAGAGGCACGCAGCGTATTCTGCAAGCAAAGAGGAAGGCTTGGTTTACGTGGCGCGTATCTGGAAGCCAGATCGACCATGATGCATACCTGGAACTCAGGAACCGGTGCAATGCAAGAGTCAGGAGGGACAGAAGGTCATTCCAGGCTAACCTTGCTAAAAAACTCCTGGCAAACCCGAAGAATTTGTACCGATTCATGTCGGAAAGGAAACCAACCAACCAAGGGGCTTGCGCCTTAGTAGGCCAAAACGGTCAATATCTCACTAGTCTGGAGATGGCTGAAACATTCAGTTTAGCCTTCGCCAAACAGCTAAACAGCAATGTGGGTATTACCGTTACGAACCAAAATGGTGGCATGACTATTTCACAGGAGGAAGACCAAATAGCCACCCCTCAAATAAACCCTGCAATAGTACTGAGAAAGCTGCAGCGACTTATACCTGGGAAGTCCCCAGGTTGTGATGACATCAGGCCATCTGTTCTGAAACAGTGCGCCGAAGCTCTCTGTAGGCCTTTATGCGACTTGTTCCAACACTCCATGGAATCGGGGAAACTGCCAAAGGAATGGAAAAGAAGCATCCTTTCTCCGATCTTCAAGGGTGGGGATAGGCAAAATCCCACCAGTTATAGACCAGTAGCTCTACTCCCAGTGGTATCGAAAGTACTGGAAAGTATTATTGATGATCACATCAGGGAATATCTGGATAGGTCTAAAATACTCCATGAAGCCCAACACGGTTTCAGGAAAGGAAGATCCTGCGTCACTAACTTATTATCAGCTTGGGACGATTGGACATCATGCTGGGATATGAATGTTCCTGTCCATGTGATCTTTCTAGACTTTGAGAAGGCATTTGACACTGTTCACCATGACCTTCTCCTACACAAAATAAGCCAGGTAGGTCTAGGTAAACCACTTCTGTCATGGTTGAAGGACTACCTAACTGAAAGGCAATTTTGCACCAAGGTCAACCGAGTCCGATCATCTTGGCACAGCTCGTCATCAGGAGTGTCGCAGGGTTCTATCCTGGGACCACTGATGTTCTTGATTTTTATCAATGATTTACCATGCCGTCTAAACTGCCCGACTCTTCTATACGCTGATGACGTAAAGATATGGAGGGCGGTAAAGTGTCCGGAGGACTCAGATAGGCTGCAGGCAGATCTAAGGCTTCTGGAAGACTGGGCGGTAACCAGTGGAATGACTTTCAACCTGAAAAAGTGCAAAGTAGTGAAGATACGCACCTGTAGACTGCAGAATGCAAGTTACACCCTGTGCAATGAAAGCTTGTCCTGCTCAACGTCGGAACGTGACTTAGGTCTAGTTCTTACGGAGAAAATGGACACAAGCGTGAATTACACGGGGGATGTAGCGAGGGCATATGCGGTCATACACTTTACACATAGACAATTAGGTGCACTCACTCCTGAGCTCTTTCTAAGGTTGTATAAAACATACGTCAGACCGCATCTTGAAGTGCATAATATCATTGCACCCCCACTGCTTAAAAGAGACGCCAACCTCTTGGAAAGAGCCCAACGACGGGCAACAAAAGGAGTGGTTGGACTCCGAAATAAACCATATGACGAAAGGCTGAAGAAATTAGGCCTATTCACACTCAGTTACCGTCGCCTGAGGGGGGATTTAATTACTGCCTACAAAATAACAAATGATCAGAATCACCCGAACAAAGGTGTTCTGCCATTGAGTAGGTATAGGCTCCCTCGTGGAAATCCCAGAAGGATAGCTCATCAGAGGGCAAGGACCCGGGTGCGCTCCCACTTCTTTTCCCTGCGGGTTTGCCGTCCCTGGAATTCCTTACCGGCAGATGTAGCTATGGCACCATCTGTGGACGCCTTTAAGCGAAGGCTGGACAACCTTGCAGTGACACAAGGACTGTATCCAAATGGCCTATCCCCTTAAAATCGCATATACCATTCAAAGATAGACAATTAAACTGGTCGTTTTACTTCTTCACATTCCCTTCAGTCTTACTCTCCTGACAGCTTTAACTACACTTATTATTATTATTGTTATTATTATTATTATCATTATTACTGGTATATATTATATATATATATATATATGTATACCGGTTGACTGACTGTTGTCACGTTTTCTTATTTTTTTTTCTCTGTCTGTTAGTCTGAATACCTTTACTAATTATATCTATTATTATTATTATTATCTCTTTTCCATTGACGACGATACCGAAAGACTAACTGGTGAAAGGATCAACTCCATTCACAGTAGTAACAGTCTTAACACACTTCATACTACAGACGCCATATAATTAATCCCAGCACTACTCCTGTTGGAGTCAACCAAAGCTACGACAGTCGAGTGGCGGGACGAGCTACACAGACGTTTACCAAAGATCAGGAACCTCTACCTTACAATCAAGAGGCGAGCGCAAAGAAATCAAATTGGTTTATACTAGCTCGTAAAAAGATATTGGATATTGGATCGCGCCTAAGTCAACTGTTCTTGTTGCTATAGACGTTCGCTCTGCTCGCAGGGTTGTTTTCCCCATTTGTGGTTTAGTGTGAGCTGTTGGTCAGTGTGTTTGCTTTCCTATTTTGCAGGTGAAGCTCCAGTTATCACAATTTTCCGATGAGGTCAGTTTCGGTCCATTCGTTATATAATATATATATATAAGCAAACGCAAGTGTTTAATCAATTAAATTTACTTAATTAAGCACTTGCGTTCACTATGCTTATTCTTTATAAGTTGCTGCAATAATATAGGAGAATGAACGCCCATTATTGTCTGTCTTTTATCCCTTTTAGCGGATCTAAGCGCGGAAGGAAATCTGTCATGGGTCTTGACCTAACAAATATCATTGATTCCCCACCAGGAAGTGCCGACTCGAGTGGAACTCGCAGAAGATCCTTGAGATTACGCCGCAAATCTACATGTGCAGTGTCCCATGACGAACAAACACTACCATCTAGAAGATATCGTCGAAAGTCTGTGATAGACCCGCAAACTCAGGTAAGTGCGTCTGCTACGTTGAATAAGTTACTTGTTTATTTATTGATTTATTTATTTTCATTCCTTCACGTTCCCAGTGGAATATAGGGCTTCAAGCTAGAGACTTGAATTTTCTGTAGCAATGTTTATTTTACTGGATTAGGTTTGTATCATCTCGCTCAACCGATTTCTCTTAAGCAACTTCATTTCTGGTTCACCGAGGTTTAGGAGTGCGTTGGCTGGCGGTTGAAACCGTGTGGACATCCGAGGTCGAGGGGAATTCTACCGCTGCACCGTGAACTCAGTATGTTCATATAATCACTGTTAAATAATCTTTGTTCAACATACTTTTTCAATATAGATTTTCCAAATTGAAACGTCATTAAGACAAGGTTTATATATAACGTATTCACCGTATTGGATATCGATACCATATCACTTTATTGGTCTTGTTTTGCATTCGAATGTAGTCTGCGTTAGCATTGTTGACAGTTGGCTGATGTAGTTGTTAGCTATATCAGACTATTACGAATATTCGTCATATCTTCTGTATGCGAATTGTTCAGTGCTTCTGTTTAAAGATTTCAAAACTGGTAGTCTGTTTAAATGATAAATCAAAATAGTGAAAGTAACACAGGACAGGACATATAAAAACTTGGACCGTGGTGTTGCCATTTTAACGTATGCTTTGTACTTGATTGCATAGATGAATCACATATATATGAGTTCTCATACATTCAAATATCCTACTTCAAGATAGTTATTCCATTCGTTAACCGTTTCTAGCTTTCGCGAAATTCTTCACTTCTGTCCACTTTAAGTACCCAGTCGCCTTGTGTGAAAACCCAAGCATTTTGATTTAGTTGTCATTTATATAAACATCCCCTTTCTCTCCGTCTCTCCTTGTTCATAAAACATACAAATCTACAGTGCAAATTTAAGCTGGTTTTCCGTTAATCTTTCTGACGGGTCGAGCACATACCCATTTGAATTACATTGTCATGCTTTAAGATATGCTCGGCATGTACGTCTTGTAGCTTGAATTTTGTTGATGCATCATATTGTATTTCAAAAGCCACTATTTTCTTCATAATTTCTTGGTCCTCAAATTAATAGAACGAACAAACTGAATAGCTATTACCTAGGTACATGAGACTATGCTTTACATTGCTAGTATCTTCAACCATGAGTAATATATGGTACTAATCCACACTTTAATTAATATTCCTTTTTTGTAGACGGATGCAGTTTATGACGCATCGTGCAACTCTTCTCATTCGCCTGCCCAGAATGAAAAGAATGTACCATGTACGGATATTTTTGCACAGCCATGCTGTACTGCGTCACCCGATAAGGTATCTGTCTTATCGCAAGATGAATTGGAAAATGTCAGACCTCAAAGTCCTCCACACATACCATCAGATATTAAAGATGTCTATCTTCCTAATAAGTATACGCCCCCGAAACACAGGGGTTTGCCAACTATTTTGGAAAATTCTGTTGAGAAAAACCAACGCTGCCACAGGTTATGCAGAAACACTGAGCGTTCCCCCTTACGAAGGCAGATATTTACAGGACAAACACTCGAAGAAGCATGCATCCCTACAGCTCCCGGCGTCGCCCCTCTGGATCCAGATCTTGTCTTATCAACAACACGCAAGCGTATCGCGAAGCGCCGGAGGCTTGCCAAGAAGTTAGGATTTAAAGGTATTACCATATCCAAAAAAACAGAAAATAGGTTCAGCAAATTCCTTCTAGAATCAGCTTTAAATTCTTCTCACAGTAGTTCAACTTCTGATTGAGTGAAGAAAATTTTCGTAGAGCCTCTCTGTAAAAGTCTATTCCACTCCCTACTGCGTCTTTCAATAAAATATAACATTGTATAGGGTTTTTAAAATGTATATTTACCGCTTCATTCTTGAACGTCTATAGCATTTTACTGTTTGTGGAAAGATTGTATATTTATATACCATTAACTCTAACTATTTTTACTTTCTATTGTACAATAAACATTAAATTGATACGGCAAACTAAACCTTGTTTTAACCGAAATATTTGCTTCTCACTTTTTCCGTTTAGAGGTACGGCTAATTGATTAAGGTGCTTGGCTTTCAGCCACTGGTTTGTGAACTCGAACCAAACCAACCGTTGGATGTAACTAATTACCATGTGTAATTAAGTGCAAGTGGTTATTGAGCAATCTTCCTCTTCCAAAACTGAGCATTGAAATCTACGCGAAAATATCCAAATAAATTAAGGATTGATTAGACAGTTAAAAATTGGGAAAATATCTGCAACTGTTCGCAAAAATGGTTAAGTGACTTACATAAAGTTACATAATGGCTTGTCATTGTTAGAGAATGTCATTTTAAAGGTGTGGTCTTGCTTATGTCACACGTCTGTTTTCTTTAATTATGTTAAGGGGAAACAACACTTGGATCACGATATTAGTTGATTTTGTGTTTAAAAAAAATTGATTATGAACTGAAGTAATTGCAGTATGAGGACCAAATACTTCAATATGACAGAAAAGTACTGACCCCATAATTGAAAACTACAGAATTTTTATGAATGTCCGATCAGCGTATGGTAAAGTTGTCCAGGTTAGATATCAATACCTTGAGCACTGAAGTTGGTGGTGGGCATGAGTTAATGTGCAGTTCAACTTAAATTTCTCGTTTTACTGAAGTAGCAGCTGTTGAGTGAGTAGTAGTGTGTTGCCAATCTTTTCCTAATGTGGTATTTTTTTCTTTTTTAGTAGTGGTTTTTGTGAATATATTTCATAACTAATTGTTCTCTTTGTTCCCTACTCGGCATTACTGTCTGAGTTCCATTCATGCCGTTTTGCTAGCGTAATTTCCTTCTATACGTCAAGTGGTAGATATCTTAATTTGTTTGTACAATTTTGGCTCTACAAGCGTTTTGATTGCAACGATATTCGTTCAGCTTTTGATAATGTTGGCAGTCTTATAAGTAGCTCTGTTCACGGTTTCAGTCAAGTAACACCAGTTAATAATTTTCTGTGAATTAGGGTTTGTGGATATTTGATAAAGTCAACTAAGAAAGTGTCGAAATAATATCAACTTTTAATCTTAGAAGTTGGGTATTATTAATCAATAAAATACAACAGGTATTTCTTAAAGTATTGCTTTTAATCCTTATTTCATTGAGACAATAAGGGTAGTGACTAACTCTCGTTTTTCTAGTGCATCCCTTGTAATGCGTATTGTAAGAAGACAGAAGACATTAGGTGACTCATTCCCAATCGTTTACATATTTAGTATTTACTTGTTAAAAAAAAGAAGACATTTCAGGCATATCTGAGCAAGTTTTGATTTAATTCGTTGAGAAGTGACTACACAATCTGGAAAAAATAATCACGTAACAGCTGTAGTGACTCAATGCATTATTCATTATTGTAGTTGACTCACACTGCAACTAAATGTTCGTCTTCTCGGAGTATGCGATAGTCGGTATAGAGGTGGATGGTGGACCTCTGTCAATTTGAGATATATAGCGCCAGCCAATAACATCGGGGAGTATTTGATTGCCACTTATGGTTTAATTCAGATCACATCACTAAATTATTTCACCTCATTTTCTTGTTGACTAGGTGTTTTGTATTAATTTAAGTTACGGTCAGAATCAACTGCATGCTTTTACTGTTTCTCAATTTCATCAGGAAATAGTTTCTGTACTGAACACTAACTAAAACCTGTACACAGAAACAGGTAAGAACAAAGATTGTAGTATCAATTTCGTATTAACGCAATAGCAGTAATTCCGGAAATTTCAAAATACAATGAAATTAGTATATATATATATACATATATATACCCAGAAAATTGTATTAACAAAAGTAAAATTAAGAATAACCAATAGACTCAGGGTAATGCATGGTATCTTTTTAATAGCCTATCACTAAATGTATTGTACGGTAACGACAGAAGACAAGAGAATTTAGTAACGGGATTATTTATTGGCAAATCGATACACAAATATAGGCAAGATACGTCTTCATGTATTAGAATCACGATTTGTATATATCTTCCGTAGTGTGCGTCTTTGTCTTCGTTCCATGTTGTTTCACAAGCATCATTCTTTAAATCCATCTCTCCGCTACCTGATATTCGTGGAGATGCCATACATATTCAAGTCTGCATCTATGCACTACTTAGAAATCCTGTCAGTAGCACACGCCACACTGCTTACCTATTTCCAATCCCCATACTGTATGAACTAGTAAATACTATTTATCTGGTTACCTTGCCACTCGAAATCAATTTGATTTTACTTACTTAGTCATATTTACGTCAAAATTTATTCGTCACATACCTGTCCATTGATACTACGACAACAACTCATATTTTTTAAGGACATGAATAGTATTTCTTAAGAAGAATAATCTTTCTTCAGACAAACTTATAAGGTTTATAGCCATGGTATTTAAATGTCCCATTGAGTGGAAGATGGCTATGTAGGATTCATTAATTTACGCATACATCAAATGTATGATTACATCAGCATTCCTTAATCACTATATTATTATCCTACCTTACCTTGCCAACAGCTATCGCCTCAAACATTTCAGTGCTTTTCTTCTGTATAAAATCTTGAAGGCGATTTAAATATCAGTCTAGTGATTCACATGTATGATATGTTTTGTTATGGATGAGGTTGGTGATCTGTCACCTGTCTTTATCGGAACTTGCGAATTTAAATGAAGTGCCTTCCGTCCTATTCGGGATTTGTCAGCCAGTTGTAGATTTGCATAAAAGGAGTTAAATAGCTGTATTAGATTTAAGTGATAAGATGAATAATTCAACGAATGAGTTGTAATCAGGATGCACATCACAACGAAGGAAAATATGGAATTATGTAAGATTTCTAAAGAAATACACGAGTTTCACTAAGCAGCCAGAATTCTCACCGTCAGCAACTCCGGTGCTTTGATCGGATAAAAGTATCATCGCACTCATTTTAATGGGTAATAATGAGAGTCAAATAACGAATCATCTTACAAATGAATAAGCATCTACAGGTGGAATCCAGAAGCAAAGAGTGTGATACTTGGGTTTACATCCAGATTCTTAAAGGCAAACAGGACCAGGGCTGTGACGGTAACTTTGAGGATACGAGACGCATCCGACTAGTCCGTCCGAAAATTCACTTTACTCATCGGTTTGTCACTCACTGAAGCTGTTGGCTGAGGCTTATGATCCCATCAGTTTTGTAGTCAGTTCCACAGTCTCGTGTTTAAATCGCTGATTTACCATTCTCAAAAGCACCTAAGCACTTACTGTTCGGGCATCCGATAACAGTATTTAACCAGTTACACGTTACATTTAGATCACTTCGTTTTGACCATTTTCTGGGTAAATATATGTATATATATATATATATACATATATATATATACTAATTTCATTGTATTTTGAAATTTCCGGAATTACTGCTATTGCGTTAATACGAAATTGATACTACAATCTTTGTTCTTACCTGTTTCTGTGTACAGGTTTTAGTTAGTGTTCAGTACAGAAACTATTTCCTGATGAAATTGAGAAACAGTAAAAGCATGCAGTTGATTCTGACCGTAACTTAAATTAATACAAAACACCTAGTCAACAAGAAAATGAGGTGAAATAATTTAGTGATGTGATCTGAATTAAACCATAAGTGGCAATCAAATACTCCCCGATGTTATTGGCTGGCGCTATATATCTCAAATTGACAGAGGTCCACCATCCACCTCTATACCGACTATCGCATACTCCGAGAAGACGAACATTTAGTTGCAGTGTGAGTCAACTACAATAATGAATAATGCATTGAGTCACTACAGCTGTTACGTGATTATTTTTTCCAGATTGTGTAGTCACTTCTCAACGAATTAAATCAAAACTTGCTCAGATATGCCTGAAATGTCTTCTTTTTTTAACAAGTAAATACTAAATATGTAAACGATTGGGAATGAGTCACCTAATGTCTTCTGTCTTCTTACAATACGCATTACAAGGGATGCGCTAGAAAAACGAGAGTTAGTCACTACCCTTATTGTCTCAATGAAATAAGGATTAAAAGCAATACTTTAAGAAATACCTGTTGTATTTTACTGATTAATAATACCCAACTTCTAAGATTAAAAGTTGATATTATTTCGACACTTTCTTAGTTGACTTTATCAAATATCCACAAACCCTAATTCACAGAAAATTATTAACTGGTGTTACTTGACTGAAACCGTGAACAGAGCTACTTATAAGACTGCCAACATTATCAAAAGCTGAACGAATATCGTTGCAATCAAAACGCTTGTAGAGCCAAAATTGTACAAACAAATTAAGATATCTACCACTTGACGTATAGAAGGAAATTACGCTAGCAAAACGGCATGAATGGAACTCAGACAGTAATGCCGAGTAGGGAACAAAGAGAACAATTAGTTATGAAATATATTCACAAAAACCACTACTAAAAAAGAAAAAAATACCACATTAGGAAAAGATTGGCAACACACTACTACTCACTCAACAGCTGCTACTTCAGTAAAACGAGAAATTTAAGTTGAACTGCACATTAACTCATGCCCACCACTAACTTCAGTGCTCAAGGTATTGATATCTAACCTGGACAACTTTACCATACGCTGATCGGACATTCATAAAAATTCTGTAGTTTTCAATTATGGGGTCAGTACTTTTCTGTCATATTGAAGTATTTGGTCCTCATACTGCAATTACTTCAGTTCATAATCAATTCTTTTAAAACACAAAATCAACTAATATCGTGATCCAAGTGTTGTTTCCCCTTAACATAATTAAAGAAAACAGACGTGTGACATAAGCAAGACCACACCTTTAAAATGACATTCTCTAACAATGACAAGCCATTATGTAACTTTATGTAAGTCACTTAACCATTTTTGCGAACAGTTGCAGATATTTTCCCAATTTTTAACTGTCTAATCAATCCTTAATTTATTTGGATATTTTCGCGTAGATTTCAATGTTCAGTTTTGGAAGAGGAAGATTGCTCAATAACCACTTG